GAAATTCTGGAATCTGAGGGTGCAAAAAAAATCAGAATATTGAGAAAATCATCTTTAAAGTTGTCCAAATGAAGTTCTTAGCAATGCATATTACTAATCAAAAATTAAGTTTTAATATATTTACAGTAGGAAATTTACTAAATATCTTCATGGAACATGATCTTTACTTAATATCCTAATGATTTTTGGCATAAAAGAAAAATCGATAATTTTGACCCATACAATGTATTTTTGGCTATTGCTAAAAATATACCTAAGCGACTTAAGACTGGTTTTGTGCTCCAGGGTCACACACACATACATATATATATATATATATATATAAGCAGCATTGGTGAGCATAAGAGACTTATTTCAGAAATATTAAAACATTGTAATTATTCTAAATTTTGTGTGTAGTGTATTATCTAATTTACTCATCTCGGACAGGTTTCATTTATTTAAATCACCACAGCTGCAAAAATTATGTAAATGCAAATGAGATCTAGAAATGCAGTCACTTTTATCTGTTTAGGTCCTTTATCTTTATGTTATTTATTAATTATTATTATTATTAATTATCTTGTGGTATATTAATTACACCAAGATTTTGTTCTGTTGCAGTAGAGCTCTGCTTTTAAGTTTTGCTATGATACTGCAGTATGTCGAAATGATCCTCTGAGTGTGTGTGTGTGTGTGTGTGTGTGTGCGTGTTGCACATTGTGGTCTTGCCGCATTGGTTTCTGAGGGTAAAAAGTTACCCAAGTGCCGGGTGTTGGCATTTTGTTTTATTGCTTTATAGTTTTTTTTTTTATAACCTTTCAGAAGCTGTGATGATTCACAAGTTTTGAATCCACAAAAGGCCAAAAATCGGATACAAGGTTAATTTATTGTGGAAAAACAGTTTTTTTCAATGAATACATTTGATTACTTTGATACAGATCCCAAATAAAAAAAATGTAAGTAGTTGAAAAAATAACTAAAACAAAAGAAAAAGAAATAAATAGTATGAATGTATATAAAATGACTTACCAGCACTCTATAGTGGCTGAAATGAACCTGACTTTAAAATAAAAATCCACAAGATACACTTCATGCATACATTTTAAGAAATTAATTTAAATTAACAAAAACATAATGTCAAATATCTACAAGACACACTGAAACAGAGGGGAGTGAGTCTAGGCATTGACCAGTTTACCTTGTGAAAATATGGGACACATTCTAACATGTTTTATGCAATATATTATACAGTATAATCAGGTGCATGTTACAGAGATGAGGTAGGTCCAAAATCAATGATCTGCATATTCTATCAAATGTTTGTGTATGTAACTGCAGTCTATCAAGGAAAGCATAGGTTTTTATAACATGAAAAATGTCTATTCTAAATTCTATGCAAGAAAAATATGAAATCTGATATTACATATTAGATATGTCACATTGCCTTGGCAACAGCAACACTGCAGTGGACACATCCGAGTGTACTGCATGAAGCACGTGGCATATAAGAGCTTATATCTGCTGCTGAGGCTTTACCTGGGTTTAAAAACAGTCCAAATAGGTGAAGCTCACCAAACCGGTCAGTAGCATGTCCAGATCCACATCTCACCGCAAATCAATAGAAACAGATTAGAAGAGAGTAGAAAACACTGTATTATTAAAGGCATTTAAAGCATGGTATTTGATGTACTGCCTTAATGTTAATTTGAATGTTAAAGATTTACAGTAATTAC